CCTGAATTAATACAAGTAGCACCATTTGTACAAACGTGTGCTTTTTTTTTGAGTACTGAGAATTCCGGAGCAATGAAAAAAAATAGTGGGGGTGGGATTAGGGTGGGGATGGGAATAGAACTAAATTGTGGGAGATGTTTGATCAGTTTCTGGGTGTGTCCGTTCTTGTTTCATTCTTGAACAGTCTGATGAAGGAAAATGTTTTCCACTGCCTAGTTGATGAAACTATTTGAGCTTTTAAAAAATTAAATGAAACTTAATACACAGTTTGGGGGTGCATCATGGATTGATTTAGAAATGGGTGTTCTTTTGGTATGCCACTGAGGCCACCCTAGAATAGGGTGGGTCCTAAACCTTATCACATTTGCATAGTGACATCCAAAAAAGCCAAAGAGACAATAGAAACACCAACACACCATTGTCCCAAATGGAGATGGTTGCCGCTGCAAGTCCCCAAACACAGAAGATTGCAGGCAGCTACTAGAAGCTGGAAAAAACAAATAAGAGTCCAGAGCAGCAGTTCTCAGCCTGTGGGTCGCGACCCCTTTGGGGGTCAAACGACTCTTTCAAAGGGGTTGCCCTGATTTGTAACAGTAGCAAAATGACAGTTATGAAGTAGCAACGGAAATTATTTTATGGTTGGGGTGGGGGGGTCACCACAACACGAGGAACTATATTAAAGGGTCGTGGCTTTAGGAAAGTTGAGAACCCCTGGTCTGGAGCCTCACCTTGATTTCTGAAGTTTAGCCTCCTGACTTGTGAGAAAATTCATCTGTGTCCCTCCCAACTGCCCAGGTATAGTACGTTTGGTTAGAGTCATGCTTGGGCCGTGTGAATTATTCTGGGGAGAGTGGAGAAGACCTGGCAGCTGGGATGCAGAGGGACCTGCTGCCTTTGCAGCCACAACATGGCCTTACAGCACACAGGTGAGGAGCCTGACCAGGAGGCTGGCTGTCAATCCATGGCCAGTTGACCTGCTCCCTTCAGCTGACCTGATGGATGGGTCCAGCAAGGACTAATGTTACAGATCAGTTATATGTAGATGTGCATTCAAAGCTATTTGTGTATTTGTATGCTCTAGAAATTTAATATTCTCTTTGATTTTTCTTAGGTTAGGTTTACAATATCTCTATCATGTAAAGATGAATTAACAATGTATTTTCTAAACATAGATGAATAATTTTAAAAAATAGAAATAACTTTAGAAAGAAACCTCATGTGCTTTTTGGCTTGAATAACCTTACACTTCATAATTCAGTTTTAATACCCATCTTTGATCTGCTTTTAGCATAGTGATCAACCAACAAATGTGACAGCGGCCATCTGAGGCACCTTTGATGTGGAAGACACTCTGCTGGGTTAATTACCTCACAGCTCGGGAAACAAAAAACCTTTCTGGCTTAGAATCCAAGGGAAAGACCCTCATCAATTGATGTCAGTAGCAAGCTTTGCTGTTAGGTTGTTGGTGGTGCTGTCGTTTGAGCCAGTTCTGAGTCATAACAGCCCACACCCACCCCAGCAGGAGGAAATACTGTCCCAGGCCCGCACCATCCTCACCATTGTTGCTATGTGTGAGCCCATTGTTAGCAGCCACCGTGTCAACCCACCTCATTGAGGCTGCTTGTCTTTCCCCCCTAACCCTCTAGGTTACCAAGCACGATGTCTTTCTCCAAGGACTGAAGGGCATGTCCTGATAACATGCCCCAAGAACAGACGCCATCTCATTATCCTCACGTCCAAGGGCCATGATGGTGGCACATCTTCCAAGACAGATTTGTTTGTTCTTCTGGAAGGCCAAGGTCTATTCCATCTTCTGTACCAGCGTCCTAATTCACCATCATCAAGTCACCTTCGGTCCTCCTGGTCGTTGCCCAGCTTTTGCACAGTCATTGACAGGACCCTGGCTTGAGTCAGATGCACCAAAGTCCTCAAAGTGGCATCTTTGCTCTTGAACATCTTACAGGGTCTTTGGTAGCAGATGGTTCAACATGACTTTTCTGCTGCCAGCAGCGTTGACAGTGGAACCACGTAAATAAAATCCTTGACAACTGCACTATTTTCCCCATTTAGCATGATGTTGCTTATTTGTCCCGTTATGAGGATTTTTGTTTTTGTTATGTTAAGGTATAATTCATACTGGAAGCTGTAGACGTTGCTCTTCATCAGTAAGTGTTTTAAGTCCTCTGTACTTTCGTTGTGCAGAGTTATGTCATCTGCATATTCCAGATTGTGAACGCGGCTCCTCCAATCCTTTTTCACTTTCTTCTACCATATTCTTCTTCATATAGTCCACCTTTCTCCAATTATTTGCTTACCATAAGCAAGCTGAATAAGTATGGTGAAAGAATACAATTCTTACGCACATCTTCCCGGATTTTAAACTTTACAGAATGACCTTGTTCTATCTGAATGATCTCATAGTGACCCTATCAGACAGGGCAGATCTGTCCCTGTGGGTTTCTGGAATGGTAGCTCTTTACAGGACTAGGAATCCTTATCTTTATCCCATGGAACAACTGTCCACTTCACATGACTGACCTGTCCATTAGTAGCCCAGTGCATCACCCACTACATCACCAGAGCTGAGTCAGGTCTTATGAGTTAATTTAACACACATTTGCCTAGATTATTAGTAGCTCCTGCTACTTTTTCTTACTTAATATTGTTTTAAGTGATCTCAACTGTACTTGCCTAGTATGGATGTCTATACACCCACTCACTGCCATTAAGTTGATGCCAACTCTTCGGGGGGGTTGAGGCTCTACATTGTTACAGAAGTTGTCCATCTCATCTTTTTCCTGCAGAGCAGCTGGGGGGTTGGAACTGCTGACCTTGTGGTTATCAGCTCCACTACCATCCCCATCCCTCCACCCCCTCAAAAAGACAAAAACCAAAGACCGACTCACTGAGCATCATTGAGTTGATGCCATCTCATCGCGCCCCTCTAGGACAGGGTAGACCTGCCCCTCTGAGCTTCCGAGACTGCACCTGTTGACAGGAGTATAAAGTCCCACTTGTCTCCCGCACTACACCACCTGCGCTCCTTATTTTGGCTATACAATCCTTCAGTGTTGTGACTCAAGGGTTGCATTTGTTTCTCCAGTTCTATCAGCTTTAAAAATTCTGAGGATGTTTGTCCTTTTTGTCTTGTTATCTCCAGGTCTTTGCTCATTTTGTTATAGCACTTGGTATCCTTGAGCTTCCCTTGGAAATCTTCTGTTCAACTCTTATTTCATGGTTCTTTTCCCATTTGCTTTAGTTAATTTACATTCAAGAGCAAGGTTTAGCTTTTCTTCTGACAGCCATTGTCGTCTTTTAAAACCTTTTTATCCTTGTCTTTCCAATGACCTTTTGGTTTCTTCATGAATGGTGTCCTTGGGGCCATTCCACAGTCCATCTGTCTTTTGGTCACTAGCGTGTGATGTGTCAAATCTGTTCTCGAGTTGGTCTCTAAATTCAGATGGAATGTCCTCAGGATTGTACTTTGGCTTTCATGGACTTGCTTTAATTTTCTCCAGCTTCAAATTGAGCTTGTAGATGAGCAATTGATGGTCTGTTTCTCAGTTGGCTCCTAGACTTGTTCCGATGGATGATAATGTTGAGCTTCTCTGGCATCTCTTTCCATAGATACAGTCGTTTCTCCTGAGGAATGGCTGGTGGTTTTGAACTGCTGGCCTTGGGATAGCTGCCCAACGGATACTCATTATGCTCCCAGCATAGGTCCTTGTGTTTATTTACCAGTCTGCAGAGGGCAGTTTCACCACATCAAAGATTCAGCTTCTAGGTATGCCTGGCACCTGCTTCTCTTCAAACCGCACCTTCCTACAGAGTCAGCCTGTGCTGATTTACTGATCTGTAGTGACTAGTCCCCGCCAGATTGGTAAATAGAAGTAGACCCTTGTTTACCTTGCTTACTGGATAAGCTGCTCCTGCCACCGTCAGCAGGCTTGAAAGCTCAGAGTACAGACTGAGAACAATCTCCCGACGTGCTCAGAAATCAATACCACAGTCCCATACAGCTCAACTCTGCTCTTCCTACAAACACTCTAGAAATTTCTGCCCTCATAGAAACTCCCCGGCACGCTCAACCCAGAGTTTGCGTCTGCACAACAGCACGTCCACAACATCCACGGCTTTGGGCCTCCCCTTGTTTTTCTCAGGGAAAACATGTTGCCGTTATCAAGTGGCTATATGTTGTGAAATGTTCACAGCTTATCAAAAATTCTTCATTAAGAGAAATGCTTGCCAGCAAGCATATCAACAACAGCCTCAGACACACACACACACACATTCTTCAGAACATTCCAGCCTGTGTCAACACAATACCAGATAAGCACAAACCCAGAACCCAAACAAGGTACTGACAGAGCCTGCGAGTAAAGAAAAACCTTCGTGTTCCGCAGGCCTGTGGCCTCACTTACCTCTGCGTGGTCCGAATTTTAAGGCATTTTTATTATCTAGCCATCTGGTGTCCTAATTGGTGTCTACTTGGGGAAAGACAGTCCTTAATTTTTTTTATAATCATTTTATGGAGGGGCTCGTACAACTCTTATCACAATCCATCCATCCATCCATTGTCTGTCAAGCACATTTGTACATTTGTTGCCCTCATCATTCTCAAAACATTTGCTTTCTACTTGAGCCCTTGGTATCAGCTCCTCATTTTCCCCTTTCCTCCCCGCTCCCCTCCCTCATGTATCCTTGATAATTTATAAATTATTATTTTGTCATATCTTACAGTCTTTAAATTTTCAAAGAAAGAAAAATCTCAATCACTGGACTCTGAATGGTAGTAACTTAGTGTATGAAATGCATGATAAGTAGTTTTGTGTGTTTTTTAAAATCACATTGGGAATTAACATGATGACTTATCTCAGTGTATCATAAAGATTATGGCCCCAACATATACATGACTTTCTATCAATGTATATATGACTTCTATCACTTCTATCATGACTCAGAATGATCAATGCTTTTTAAAGGTGATTCCAGACACCATATTGCTACTGATTCAGTTACTAGCATTTTAGCAAATGTTACTCAAAAGCATTCAAGTCTCTCATTTAGGATATACTTAAGGGAATTTCTCTCCTGTATTTGGTACATTTAGACAATAAAATCAAATTAAAAGGATGCTATATAGGGAGAAAAAGAAAAATTATAGTTATTTTTAAAATTGTGGTCAAAATATACCCTTGCCAATTCAACAACTTTTACATGTAGAATTCAGGATACTGGTTACATTCTTCATGCTGTGCAATGGTTACCACTGCCTTTTCCCAAATGATTCGCCACCATTACCAAACTCACTGCCTGCCCCCACACGGTGATCCTCACTCTCCCCTCTCCCACCTTTGGAACCATGGCTGTGCATTGACCTTTAAACACTGGCTAAAAGGGAGAATTTTTTTCCCCTTGACAATCATTTCCATTTATGTTAGGCTAGGTTCTGTAAAGAAGCAAAACGAGTTATCCTTATAAGTATGTATATATAGAAAGAGATCTATAACAAGAAATGGCTCACACGGTTGTGGAAATGGGTAAGTCCAGTCTGGTTTAAGTCTAGAGGTCAAGTGTAAGCTTGAGGTTAGGGTCTGATCAAGAATGAGATGGGCCCCATCAGGAATGATGTACCCTGAGCTCAGGTTTGCTCAATCAATAATGGAGGTATAGCGAGAGGTCTCTGGTTTATTAAATTTTCCTGAATGGAGACAAGATTATTTTAATAGAGCCTGAGGCCAAGGTTGCATCTTTTCGTAAGGAGCACAGCACTGTTGTGGTACAGGCATTAGGTCCCTTGTAGGGGTTTCTAACTCCCCAGGCTTCCCCTGACTCATATAACTGCAGGGTTGACTGACAGGAAGCAGGAAGATGAAGCAGAAAGACCAGTCAGGCAGGTGGACACAGAGTCAAACGAATCCACGGTTGGCAGGTTGTTGGTGGCTTCTGGGATCGGCAGGCATTATAACAGGAAGTCAATGAACCAGATGCAAAATTCAGATTCAGCTGCAGAAGTGAGCCAGTTTCCCCACAGTGTCAATCTATACTGAGTTGTCCACACCCTGAATGAAACCTTGACAATTTCTACACAAAATGTTCAGTGACCTTAATTTTGTTTTCACAATGTGGCAGCATTTAAAAAAAAAAGTGTTCTGCTGGTTCTGTGTCCAGCATTCTAGCTCCCTTGCCCCTTTATCTTTTCATTTTTGCTTTAGAGAAGTGTCTCCCAAAGTAGAGGCTCGCTACCAGCCCCTGGGGAGTGCCGGGATGATCCGGGGAACAACAAAAGCAGTTATGCGGGTGCCTACACTTTATCTTGGAGGCTGGGCTATTTTGTACATGAGTTTTTAATTGCCAGGAGGCGAGATATAGATATGAAAAGATGGTGGTAGGCCAAAGAAGTTTGTGAGTCTATTATTTAGAGTAAAGGCATTTTGGTCTCAGGCAGATGATTTTTTTAGTAAAGCGCCGTTATGGGTAATTTCCTTAATTTTGTGTGCTAATTTGTCATTGGAATAAAAGGTGATCTTGCAATCCTCGGGGATTCTTTTTGTTAAATTTCCATAGTGGGTTCCCAGGTTTTTCCTTGTTGGAAACCATAGTGACATGCCGGTCTCCACCGACTGTTCACTGGCCAGGCATCAGACCCACGTTCCCCGGACAGATGGTGAGAAGTCTACGGCTGAATCACCAGTGCCTTCCAAACTGGACTACCTGTCATTGATTTTTTAATTTTATTTATTTTTTACTATGATGCTCTTGCATTTTAAATCTCCATGTCTTATTTTAAAATGTTCTTGAGTAAGCAATAAAAAAATATTCACTTTAGTAAATCTCAACTATTATGTCGTTTAAAATCCCGTGGAACATCCTGCAAAGAGTGAATCCAGCACACGCTCCTGCGATTCTGCTGTGAGTGGAGTGAAACATCAGTTTTACTTGAAAGAATGGCAGTCAATCCAGGGTTACTCCGACTTGGGGATGTGGCCAACATTTTCTCAGAAACAAAGGAGGAAAGCCTGTCACTTTAGGAAAACAACTGCCTTTTTTATTGACCATGGCATCGTTTCAGCTTTCAAGTTGAAAGGAGAGTTTTGGGAAACTTGTATTTGCTACATTCGCTCAAAAGCTTCCCGGTGGACTTTTGTGCGGAGATTGGGAGTGGTAGTAAATGGATGGGATTTGCTTTGATATGAGAGGCACCAGTGTCTGGAAGAGCCACGGAACTCAATTAATTATTATTTTGCATGGGCATGGATCTGAGATCCATTCAAATATGAACAAGACCCAGGGCTCTTAATGTGACGGTGTAAGAAAGGGTCATTTAATATGGTTTCAGCTTCCACATTAAAATGAGCCTTAGAGGATTTTCTAAGTGAGTGCAGTATTAGAGAAAAATATTCATAATTATCAGGAAAGCCGATTAAGTGCTCCTTCCTTTTTCTCATTACATAGCTATGCAAGGTTAGATTATATGCATATATTTCAATCAAAACAGGATCTCACAAGAAATTGAGTGCAGAAGCAGATACGGCAATTTAGCTGTATTCCACCAACACAGACATTAGAGACTTGCAAAAATGCAAAAACAATGGCACACTTTATCTGTTTTGATAAATGAAAGTTACCTTTCACAAAATATTGATGTTAACATTGCTATTTTAAACTTATTTTTAAAAGGGTTACTCACTGTAGTGATAAATATGACTGCTCATTTCATCACAGTAATGATAAAGGAAGTAAAATACTCAATAATGAAGTCAAATACTCAGTATTTCTAGGATGACTTATAAGCATGATATGGGGAAACAACCAGAAAACTGAGTTAATCTTTGATCATAAAGCTCCCAAACTACAGCGATAGACTGTTCAGTGTATATGTTGGTTAAAAAACAAATACAGTGAACCCTCGTTTATCGCGGTTAATTGGTCTAGACCCTACCGTGATAAATGAAATTCCGCAAAGTAGGATTCCTTATTTGTAAATCAAATATTTTCATAGTTAGAGCATAGAGGACATGAAAAAACACCCTTTAGTCACCATTACACTCGTATTACCCAATTTATTAAGCGAAAAAGGGAAAATACAGTAAAACATTTTGGACGTTACAATTATCATTTATTATTTATTATATTATTTATGGCATCAAGTGTGTACAGTATGAGCCAATCAGTGGCAGTAATGACAGAGCATGCGCTGTTACGCAAAAACCGCGATAGAGTGAAGCCGCGGAAGTCGAAGCGCGAAGTGGCGAGGGTTCACTGTATTTTTAACTTTATTTTGTTTGCGTATAATGTTGCTATGAATCCTTTTATAAGTAGAGTTTGCGCTCCAGGTGAAAGCATAAGTATTGCCCCTCTGAAATGAATCAAGTGTTTTTAAAAATTCTCAACTGTAATTTCTAATGTATTAAATAGTAATAGATATATTCTCGTGAAAAGTTCTCTGAGATTCTCAACCATTTGTAACATTTGTCCAGGGTCCTGAGAAAGGCCCGGTGTCCCGGTGGTTGAACACTGGCTGCTAAGCTCAGGTTGTTGGTTCAAGCTCCCCAGCAGTTCTGTAGGAGGAAGGGGAGGTGATCTGCGCTCTAGGGATTGATGGCCTGTAAGCCCGAGAGGCCAGTTCTACTCTGTTCTTCTGAGTCATCAGAAGATGACTAGGTAATAAGTTGAGATTTTTTGTTTTCGCTTTAAATGTGTCCCGAGACCAAAAAGTTAGAGAGTTGCTGGTATGGAGTATGTAATATAAAGCAGAGAATATGATCTACATACCTTTAATAATATACCACAGTAGAACAAATTATAATATAGTGCAAATATGGCCTCATCTAAATATACCATAGAGTAAATTAACATCCTCCTGCAGCAATAGTATAAATGTGTTTGATAAGGCAAATGTTAGTGGTATTAGACTATTCTGGGCCAACCCACTCCAAATCATTGCCCATTAGGAAAACACAAAAGGAAAATGAGAATCTAATGGGTACCTCAAATCCGTCAAAGCATGCACCTAGCCACAGCCTCTCCTGGCACACACACCACCACCACCCCCTAACAACTATTTGGTGGACAATAACCTGAAGTGGCTGGAGAGCAGCTGGCTTGTCTTCTGCAGAGTGATCAGTTTAGTACTGACCCATTGCCATTCGCTTGGTCAGCCTTCTCCTGCTCGGCAGCCTCTTTCTTTACTCCTGTTCTTTAATGTCACACAGGGAGACGACTTCAAGCAAACTATGTGAAATGAAACACAACTAAGAAGGGAAACTAGAGACTGAGGAGGAAATGCCAGCTTCTGTCGTGATGGCCTGACTTCCTTTTTGAAGACTAAAAACTGTCTTTTTTTAAACATGTGGTTTCTAAATGTCTAACAACTAGAAATAAGTCCATGAATCATAGTACCACCATACAATGGATTTTTAAGAGTCAATGGATTTACTTTTGATAGGGAGAAATTTAATAGGGGACACTTCAAAATAAGCCTTAACCCTGGAGGTTAAGAGTTCCGCTGCTAACTGAAGGGTTGGGGCTCAGACTTGCCAGAACTGTGAGGGACAAAGCTGGGGCAGTCAACGCTCATCAGGATTCAAACAACACAAAACTCACTTCCATCAAATCAATGCTGCCTCATAGGGACCCCTGAGTTTCAGACACTGTATTTATAGGAGTAGAAAGCCAAGTATTGCTCCCTCAGAGCTTCTGGTGGTTTTGAACTGCTGACCATGTGGATCAAAGACCAAGGGGTAACCAGTGTGCCACCAGGCATTACAGAGTTGGAAATCCTGTGGGAGCAATTCTACTCTTCCTTCTGTGCTTGCTGTGGCTAGGAATCACTCAATGGCGATGAGTTTTAATCCTCAAAAGATAATGGTCAATGATACAACTCACACACAAACATATCTGGAATGACCACAAGGTATGCCTTGAAATACTACCAAATGCAATTTGGGGTTGCTTACAGTAAGGATTTTAAAGAACATTTTAACTGTGATACCTTGGTCCATTTTCTAAATATTCTGGAATGAGCATTTATTATTTGTATCATAAAAAGATGGATACAAAATAATATATGAGGTGGTCAAAAAAAAAAAAGACCATAAAACAATCACACTCACTACCATTGAGTTGATGCCAGTTCCTCGTGGCCCTGCAGGACAGGGTGGAACTGCCGCGAGAGTTTCCAAGACAGAAGCTCTGTACAGGAGTAGAAAGCCCTGTCTTTCTCCCACGGAGCAGCGGGTAGTTTCAAACTGCTGACCTTGCGGTTAGCAGCTCAACGTGTAAGCACTATGCCACAGGGGCTACGTAAATGAGGTGGTTGGGTTTAATTATTATGTTTCAAATGTAGACAAGAGTTTCTGAAAATTATAATTTCCAAAACTAAATACGTAGTTTTAAAGACCTATCGGGAAAGAGAAACATGTTGTTGTTGTTGTTGTTGTTCTCGGTTGCTTTCCCTTACTCTCAGTGTTTCTTAGAAGATTCTTGTTGCCCTGAATAGTTCAGATATCCCCTGCCTGGGCAGGGTTCCTCAGGAGTCCATGCAAATGTTTGGGGCAAATGACTTCAGGTTGCAAAACTAAGGTTCCCTGCAGGCAAAGTTTCCTTCTAATTTAGAGGAGATAATTTAAATTTGCCTAAAACTCACAAGCTGTTTCTCAAAATATCTGCTAAAAATAAAACCAAACCAAGAAAACCCCCAAGAAATAAATGTGGAAAAGATAGGCCTAAAATGTGTTTTTTTGTTTTTCATCAGGAGGCTTGTGAATATTAAATGCTGAAAAGCAAAATAATATATTTCTTGGAGGTAAAATAAATCTGAAAACCACTTGAAATTGAAATATGAAACCTGATCATAATATCAAAAACAAACAAGCAAACAAAAGCCAAATTAGTTCCTATGGAGTCTCTTCCTTCTCATGGTGAGCCCAGGTCTTCAAGAGTAGAACTACTTCACAGGGCTCTTGCCTATAATCTCTATGGAAGAGACTCACCGGGCCTTTCTTCCTCAGCACTGCTGGCTGGGTCTGAACCATCAAACTTTAAGTTAGGAGCTGTGGCAGTTACATAGTCACCTGTCGATTTGAGTAAAGGGGTGGAGTCTATCCTGTCAATTAGGTCATAGCCAAAGAGGCCTTTGCGTGGGCATGCCCTTCTCCTGAGGATTCTGGGAACTCCTATCTTCCTCCCCAAAGGCAGGACACAAACTCTCTATGCTTTACCTTCCTGTTAGCAAGCCACATGGAGCCACACTGATGGCAGCCAGAGCCCTGGAGATGCGTCCACCCCACTGGATCCACAAGACTTTCCACCCACAAGCCTGTGATCTTCCTGCATTCAGCATCATTGCATGTGTTGCGAGTCTGAAGAGGAATTTATAGACTGGTATTGGACATTTGGGCGAATATCAGACTTAAAAGACTTGATTTGGACTGGGCCAGGATATTTTCTTAATATACAATTACTTTGATATAAAACTCTCTCATATACACATATGAGTGTCTCTGGATTTGTTTCTCTAGTCGACCCAGACTAACACAGTCGCTGAGCTCAAAATGTTTGCTCTACCTAACATCAAAAGAAACCCAAACCTATTCTTGGAATAGATTCTGACTTAAAGCAATGCTATAGGATAGTCCCAGATTTCTAAGGCTATAAATCTTAACAGAAGCAGGCTGCTGTATCTTTTTCCCAAGGGGCAGCTGGTGTGTTCCAACTGCCAGTCTTTTCTATTAGCAGGCAAGTGCTTACCGATTGAGGTAGAAAAGTATTCCCCAGGCTTTGGTCAACTCTCCTGGTGAAGAGAGGGACCTCTTTCCCATCATCTAATTAGCTAAGGTAAGTAAGTGGCGGGCTTATGAGGACTTTGTGATCATGCCTCGGTTAGAACTGTGGACTTGATGCAATAAGGTTAAAGGTGGGGCAATAGACTGAGCACATCTCCTTAGGAAATAACTCACTGCCATCAAGGTGATTATCCCATGCCTGCCTCTACGACATGTTGTGGTCAATGTTCTGTCTGCTGTCACCAGCTCTCTTCTCTTATCTCCTGGATAACCTCACTTCTAAACTGCCTTGCCCTCTGGCTCCTTGTGGGTGTGGCCAGTGGAAGTTCCTGGAACACTGGTTGGAGCAGGACTAAGCAGGCACAGCACTGTCCTCCCACTTGCTCTTGCTCTACTGGGGTTGTTCTCCCTGGTAATAGCCTCCCCCTCTTGGGCCCCACCTTCTCCCAGGTGATGCCCCACATTCCATCTCCACCTTCTTTTCACTTTGTGCTTCCAGCCACAGTTGCTTCCAGCTGTTGCCTCTTCTGATCTGACTTGATAGTTGTCGTTAAGTGCTATTGACTCAGTCCCAGTTCAGAGAAACTGTGCCCGGCAGAATGTACCACCAGCTCCTGCGCCGTCTTTACAATCATTTCTGTGTTTATGCGCACTGTTGGTGGCCACTACGTCAGTCAGCCCTTCTCTTTAAAGGTCTTCCTTTCCCACTGACCCTCTGCCTTACCAAGTGTGGTGTCCTTTTACAGGGGCTGTTGTGTCTTGCTAACACGTCTTATGTATGCGAGACAACAAACGTCTCACCAGCTGCCTTTGTAAGGAGCATTCTGACTGTACACCTTCAATGTCAAGTTTTCTTCTCTTCTGACTTGGATCCGCAATCAATGCCTGTGGAAGCAGCAATTCCAAAATCAAGTGACATACCACAGTGGGAAAATATGCTGTAAAAGGCCCATTTGAAGGGATAAGAAGCAAAGATGTCACTTTGAGGACAAGGTGCACCTGACTCAAGCCAAGGTCTTTTCCATTTTTAACTACTTCATAAGCCTGGTTTTCAAGGCCCATGGAAGCAGCAATCACGAGATCAAACTACACATTGCATTGGGTAAATGTGCTGCACAAGACCTCTTTAGAGGTTTCAAAAGCAAAGATGTTACTTTGAGGGCTAAGGTGCACCTGACCCAAGCCATGGTATTTTCCATTGTCTCGTATGCATGTGAAAATTGGACATTGGACAAGGAAGACCCAAGAAGAATTGATGTATTTGAATTGTGGTGCTGGAGAAGACTATTGAAAGTACTATGGACTACTAAATGGACAAACTGATCTTCCTTGGAAGAAGTACGGCCAGAGAGCTCCTTAGAGGCAAGGATGGCAAGACTTCATCTTACAGACTTGGGACATGTTGTCAGGAGAGTGCAGTCCTTGGTGAAGGACGTCATGCTTGGTGCAGTGGAGAGGGAGTGAAAAAGAGGAGGTCCCTCAAGGAGATGGATGGACACCAGGGCTGCAGCGATGGGCTCAACAAGTACAGGCTGGTGTAGAGCCCGGCAGTGTTTCCATCTGCTGGGCACAGGGTCCCTAAGGGCTGGAGCCGACGTGATGCCCCCTAACAGCCACAACTACCACAACACAAGCATGTGAACGCCGGGCAATGAATAAGGAAGAGCCAAGAAGAATGGACACATTCAATGGGCTGTCTTACCACCCCCAGTTGGCTCCTCCATGCTTTCATCATTTATATAATCAAGCTTCTATATATTTTTTAAATAATTTTATTGGGCACTCATTCAACTCCATCCATCCATCCGTTGTGTCAAGCACATTTGTGCATTTGTTGCCATCATCATTCTCAAAACACTTTCTTTCTGCTTGAGCCTTTGGTATCAGCTCCTCATTCCTCCCCCCCTCCCCCTGGACCCTTGATAATTTAGAAATTATTATTATTTTGTCATGTCTTACACTGACCGATGTCTCCCTTCACCCACTTTTCTGTTGTCCATCCCCCCAGAAGGGGGTTATATTATGTAGTTCCTTGTAATCAATTCCCCCTTTCTACAACCCCCCTCCCTCCACCCTCCCAGTATCACCACTCTCACCACTGGTCCTGAAGGGATCATCCGCCCTGGATTCCCGGTGTTTCCAGTTCCTATCTGTACCAGTGTACATCCTCTGGCCTAGCCAGATTTGTAAGGTAGACTTGGGATCATGATAGTGGTGGCGGGGGAGGGGGCGAGCACTTAAGAACTAGAGGAAAGTTGTAAATGACCCAGAAATACTCAAGTTGGTTTCTGTTTTAATGCGTGATCTCAGACTATATCACTGGCTATAGCTTATTGCTGGGATATGCACTCCAGCACAAGGAAACGTCTATCAGGGAGGCAAGTGAAGACATTTCAAAGATCCACCGCACCATCGAACATCTGCTGCAATGGGAGTGGGAATGTTTAGAGTCTAAGTGAACTGGGGCCTGTTAAAAGCACAGGGATTTCAAGAAATTTGTTTCGCACATGTCAAACGCAAAACAGAAGTGGACTGTCTTACTCCTCCGGTTTGACGGCCAACAGCCAGGCCGTGGTTGAGGCTGTGGCACGCAGAGAGCCCCTTCTTTGCTGAGGAAGAGCTCTCCGGTCCCTGGGAGTGTCAAACCATCGGAGTTCTCCTGAATCGAGGTCTTGCAGAAACCATCCAAAGTTAATAAAACTTACACAATGCCTGGGCATTCTCTATCGTCGCCTAGTGCTGTATTAAGCATGATTGGATAATAGCATCTGTGATTTTTTTTTTCTCAAACCACTCTGGGAAAATTACTAAGCTGGTGTAACATTTGTTCACTTCTCAAATC